GTGCGTGAAGATTGAGTGCGGTGCCACAGCATTTAGGACGTCTCGTCAGATTTTGTCTATGCAAGTGGAAAAGAGGAGCACCCTCGAGTGTTGTGCCTTGCACCTGTCTCAACATCTCAGGCAATAATTGATCAGTTTCATATAACGAAATTCAAATGAATCGGTCCATAAAATCTACGGTGATAAACATAATTTAATGTTGATGAAAGAACCTGTTCTTGCAAATCTACAGCCACCAGTCAATTCTTACGGTATCCGACCATTAAAGGCAGGCCTGGTCTGCGCAGTAATTTCCCATAGAAAAACAAGCGTACCAAGCTAAAGAGATTTACTATGTATGAGCCGTACAGATACTTAGAGAAATATTTTAGATTTAAAAATGTTAACCAGATACACCCTCTTTAGGTGGCATATAGGTTGGTTCTTACCGTTGGTGAGGCCCCAAGAAAGCCCTTACCCCTCAGTATGACAAAATAAACATGTTTTTAAATATTCTTCCTTCTCGTATCGCGTAAAATGTCATTAAATTTAACTTGCACCTGATGAAGCAAATATAAAACTCGAATGTCCTTTTGGATCCCCCTGGACCTCACTTGGGGCCCTCGTGAATATTATCCGTTGCACATTTCAGGCGTTGAAGCCTTTATGGATGTTTTGAGAAACGTATTGCCCATGAAAACGGATGGTTGTAAGCGTTGGAAATATAAAAAAAAAGACACAAAAATTGCATTGGAACAAAATGAAATCTCTTCAAATCAGTAAAGTTGGCAGAAAGATCAATTCGGCAGTAAAACTTCGTGATGACCCGTTTTTCGTGCACGGAAAGATTTATCGTGATCTTTACCAATTGTCCATACTGAAAAGGGTACCATTTGACCCTCTCGAGAGTTGGACATTGTGCGGCCTTGCCGTATATCTCAACAATTAAATTTGATCCTTTGACGCGGTGGACTAAGGAATTTTAGATAAAGTGAATGTAATGAGCGTAAAGGCAAGTTTTAAGTCGCGCCTGATTAACCTCTTTCAAATGAACTTTTCAACCTTTTACATACTGGCTCATAATGTCTCATTTACGCTTCTCGGGCCTCCATTTATCCCTGGTGCAGCCCACTCCCATTCGGTAGATGTATCTTTACGTTCTGTTAACGAAGATCCTCGCTCAAACCTGCCCTAGGTGGAGAGTCTTCCCAATAGACAATAATAGTTTTTAGGGGTAATTGACAGTCACGTGGCTTTTTTTTTTAAAATTTCGTCAAATAGAGGTCACTGTAAATATACAACACCTCAGACTTTGAGCCTCCAACCATGTGGTCGTATAGGCAGTCTCTCTTAAAGGAAACAAATGCACGAAATAAACTTTCTAAGTTTGATCATGGCTGGCGAAATGACAGCTCTACCCGTGGATTCAAACGGTAAATGGCAACTGGGCAGGAACGAGAATTTCGACGAGTTCCTAGAAGCAACGGGCTGATAAAACGGAAGTTGATCTACACCGTGACCACTATTATCAAGATTTAGCAAGACAGGGACGAGTTTACCATCTCGACCAAAAACCCCTGTTGGTCTGAGAGTGACTACCTTCAAAGTGGGCACGGAGTACTCAGAGAATAACCCGATGTTTGGGGACAAGGAGCAGTGTTCGTTGGCCTTGTGGTGGGGCGCTAGGCTGGTTCAGTAGGTAGTGAAGAACGATGCCTCGGATGACATTCCCAGAAGCTTCGATAGGGAAATGGTGGACGGTAATTGGTCGTCACAATACGTGGAGGTGAAGTAGCGGCCAAGCAGTACTTCAAGAAACTACAGATCTTCGGACATGCGCAAGTAGGCCTAACCTTGCTTGTGCAACAATCTATCGTTAAATTCTTATATTTCCATGAAAAATGTTGCGATGTCAAGTATTATTGAAAGCTGTTCTCCGCAGTAAAAACAATTTTAATCTATTTGACTTTTAATAGACCTATTCTTTAGGAATGTTTGCAGAACTGCAGACATTTTTTATACGGGCCAAATTCAGCCTTACAATTCCAGTACTGATTGTCGCCTTGTTCTATAGCCGTTGAGGGCGCTAATAAGTTCAACTCTGGCACAATTAATATGGTGAGCGTCGTTCAGCCGTCATCCAAAATATCTCTCCTGGAAAAATCCAGCACGAGGAAAATTTTTTATATTCCACAAGGTCGAGAAACAAAATTTTTGCAATGATTAATGTTATTATGGGGAAATAATTTGGTTAAATGCAATTTGGTACCTTATGATAAAAAAAATTGCAATTAAGCTTGCTTTTCGTTTGGTACAATATTGGACCATGTTCCTTATGCGCTTCTTAACCACTGGCTGACTATCCCTGGTACTCAGGCGATATTTGTGTACACGGGTTACCGGGGAAATCGACCCGTGAGCAACAAAATGATCGTCGTTTGAACTTGGATTGGTCTAAAGAAAAATGGTACAGCGGGTCGTAATAATCACCTGACACTGGATGGCGTGTAAACACAAATAAATTTCCTTATTTGTTTTATGGAGGACATGTACATTTGTTCAAGAATTCTTTTTTCATTTCCGTGGTTGACATATTAACGCGCCGTGGTTTGTTGCGTCAAAGCGCAATTACAAGGTTGAAGAATTTGCAGGGAAAAAACCGTACCAGCAGCTTTTCGGGTAAGAAGATCCGACGTTAACTGGCTATGAACGTTAACGGTATGTCTAATTTATCTAAGCAGTGGCGCTAATTGGTGCAGGGAAATGGGAGGAAGGAAGATTGTGGGGAATGACTATAGCGCGGCGTAGGAAATTATTCAATCTAGCCTAAAAGTAAAAGGTCACTCAGCGAGCTCCCGGAATCCTTGCGCGGTCCTCCTATGGGGATTTTACATTGGGCCGTCCTATGACGTTTGATAATTTTCGGAAGAATAATTCCTAACTTAATTAAACCACGAAAGGAAACACTCATATCGGAATTTTATCTTTGTCTTCCTCAAGTAATATTTAGGAAAAGTCACACGGAGATGGGTAAAAAACGATTTTTTTAACGACCTTTCACGTCCGGCGATACCGTAGCTAGGTCTCCATGTTTGTGCAAGTTTGTTTTCACTGCCCGTGCTTACGTGAAAACGAGATTGTATAACCTTGCAATCTTTCGTAATTGAAATGTAATATTGCTTTCAGTTTATTACTTATAAATTATATGACTGCGTAAATTAGTTTGATCACTTTTTATTTCGGCTTTTACCGACGGACTGCCATAATATTTCAAACCGCAAATATTCATTGGTGTACGAGACTGCCTCCTTGCACTGTTCTTCATGTACTTTAGATTTTCGGAAGTGATGGGTCAATTTTTGGCAGGATATTTCTCTTTTAGGTCAAGTGATTTTTCAGTTTCTATAAATTGATATACTAGAAAATATTTTACAAAGCCCCTTTTCCGAGTTGGATTTTTTATGAAGTAACTGATCGAAAAATGTTCCAAATTCTAAAATCCTTGCAGGTTATTTTTCCTATCCAAGGGTTGCAGAAGCGCGCCATCAGGGGTCAACTTGCATTGCAGGTTTCTTTTCGTCTGGTATGTTTTGACTTACAGGACCAAACTCCATTAGCTGGATCGTCGCATACACACACGCTTCGCAAGAAACTTCAGCTAACCATTCTTAAATAGGTTCGCACAGTTAACATATTTCGATAGAATTTGTCACAATGAGGATTCAGAAAGACCGAGGTATAACATTCAATAGCAGAGCTGTTTATAATACAGCTTTGCTCAATAGTGGCGCAAAGCGCCCTCATTGAAAAGACTCACAAGCTCCAAAGTTCAACAAACTTAAAGCATTTAGACCATGATAGGCCTGATAGTATTCAGGTCACATAATGTATTTCTAGAGATGCATTGACGTAGAAATCATTTCATAACACAGTGACGAATGATCCGCATAAGGTTACTGCAGCAGAAATGCATTAAATGCTACCCCTATCAACGAATCGTCAGTCGCATTTCCCGTAACACTTTCCAACAATGTGTCAATGAAAATACTTTTGTGATTTCTTTACACACCCCACACGACTGTGAGGGATACGATATTTTGCTAAAAGCCCTTGTTCCCCAACATTGCTGAGATAAATTGTTAGCGGATATCTCGTCAATTATTTCCAATACATGTGGATTGATGCCTTACATAAAACAGGAACACATTGCTCAGCTTGAAGAACCTTTTATATACGTAAAGATCAGCCACTATCACATCATATTTATACAAATACTTAATGAATTATTTCCAATACTCAGAGAAAGTAAACTTTATGTATTATTGTTTCCTTCATTTCTAAACAAGGTTGAAGCTTTCCTTCTTCATTTACTTATTTTAAGAATTCAAAACTAAATCAAATTATGTGCTTTAAATTTGATTTTAGTTTTCAAGTGTTTTTATACAGTCTTAAACTTCCATGTTAGTATCATTATGACAATCTGAAGCATACACCTTTCTCAGCTCAATAACCTATGAAAAATTCAAATATACAAACTTTGCCATTTAGCGAGCAGGATATGTGGAATACAATGTGAAGATTTAGATAGTAATTAAAAAATATGTTATCCTAAAACAGACAAACAAAACAAAACAAAACAAGAAAGCGTTCCTCTCTGCACAACATTTCGGAAATATTAACTCTGCGGTACTTTATCAGTTTACATCTGGCGATGTATATTTTTCTCCTTTTTATTTCATTGCTTGTTCATATTTTTAGTGGCTTCTCGAGCAATGGTTTTGATGGATCTTTTCCAAAACGTCGCTGGCCTTTTGTGATTCCACATATTTCTCGAACACTCGTTTTCCAGCAATAATTATATTTGTCGATTATAGTCTCGATACAAATACAATCATTTTTAGAGAAGGTTGGTGTCTATATCTTCTTGAAATAACGCCTGGCCACGGCTTCCCCTCGGCGAAACGTGATGACCAATTCCCCGTTTACGATCTCTCGCTCGAAGCTCCGGGGTATGTCATCACCTGGGCCGCGAACAACCCGCTGCACCAGCTTAGCGCCTTGCCACTCGGCCAACACGCGAAACTCCTTGTCCCCCCACATCGGATTGGTCTCTGGGTACTCCGCCCCCAGCTTGAACGTGGTGACCCTCTGGCGCAGCGATGTCTTGGACGTGAATGTGAACTCGTCCCCGTCCTGCTCAATCTCGATCGTCAACCCGAGGGAGTTGATCAGTTTGCGCATCACAAAACCGACCCCCGAGGCCTTCATGAACTCGTCAAACTGCTCGCTTCTGACTAGTCGCCACCGGCCGTTCAGATTCCCCGGGGCTGCCTCGGCAGCTGTGTCGCATTCTGCTACTGAGGTTCCTGCAGCAGGTGTCTCTGCTGGAGGTGTCTCTGCTGTAGGTGTCTCTGCTGCAGGTGTCTCTGCTGCAGGTGTCTCTGCTGCAGGTGTCTCTGCTGCAGGTGTCTCTGCTGGAGGTGTCTCTGCTGTAGGTGTCTCTGCTGCAGGTGTCTCTGCTGGAGGTGTCTCTGCTGCAGGTGTCTCTGCTGCAGGTGTCTCTGCTGCAGGTGTCTCTGCTGTAGGTGTCTCTGCTGCAGGTGTCTCTGCTGCAGGTGTCTCTGCTGTAGGTGTCTCTGCTGCAGGTGTCTCTGCTGCAGGTGTCTCTGCTGCAGGTGTCTCTGCTGCAGGTGTCTCTGTTGCAGGTGTCTCTGCAGCAAGATCTTCTACTGCAGGTGTTTCTGCGACAGGAGATTCTGTTTGGGGCACTTCAGCTGCCACCGCGGTCTGTTCTGCTGCTGCAGCTTCCGCCATTATGAAAACTAAGACGAAAAGCCAATCTTTTTCCCGTGGGCGTGTGTGTTCTTTATCTGTGTACCATAAACCTGTATTTCCTGTTCCTTGATCGTCTGGCTGATGGCACAAAGTTCACGTCTAATACAAAATACTTGTTGCCAAAAAACACTCACACGATAGTGGCCCGTCGCAGGCCCCTGTGTGACGTCAGGCACGACAGTCATGGTATTGGGTATACTGTATGGAAAGTTCAAGGCACTGCCACTTTACGCGTGTGATGAAAAACGTCACTGAATTACAGTTTTGGTGAATGAGAGTTTGACTATATGAAGAAAAACGTAGATGGCCGATTCGGTTATACAGTCTGCTCTGTACGAAGACCTGAATGTCGTCTACATTTACACCAGTTACATACTTATGCACCATTGTACAATGCATCATGGGATTTCTAAACTCCATTCAATGGCTTATTTGAAGAATAGAACAGAGTAGGAGGGTGCTATTTAGAAGTGGATAAATGTGGAAATCAATAAGTTTTCCTACAGACATTAGGTGGCATTTTCGGAGCGCCTGAAGTTTGCAGGAAGTTGCAATTGACCCTTGGTTTGTAACAACTTTTACCTCAAAATGCACACTTTCCTTCTTCATTGTTAAAATATAAAGAGGCTTTACCAGACCAGAGTTGTAACGAGTCACTGATTTTTGTGACTCGAGTCAACAGGTTACTCGTTCAGGTATAACCTAGTTTCAATATTAATGAAAGACCAGAGTTGTAACGAGTCACTGATTTTTGTGACTCGAGTCAACAGGTTACTCGTTCAGGTATAACCTAGTTTCAATATTGATGAAAGACCAGAGTTGTAACGAGTCACTGATTTTCGTGACTCAAGTCGAGTCAGGTCATTTTACAGCAGAGACTCGGGTCGAGTCGAGTCTTTTATTTTGCCCGAGTCAATTCGAGTCACAAACATTTGGACACATAATAAATAAACATCAAGAGACAGAAATGTGTTTGCTGTTTTGAATTTATTAATGAGGAGCATAGCACAACATTTGCTAAGTGTGAAAAAAGCCACAATGTTCAAACAGTGTATCCATGCAAACATGTGCTGGTGGATGTACATGTGTACCAGAGTTGTAACGAGTCACTGATTTTTGTGACTTGAGTCATTTTACAGCAGAGACTCGAGTCGAGTCACCCAAAAATGCGACTCGAGTCGGACTCGAGTCGAGTCATTGACTCGAGTCATTACAACTCTGTGAAAGAGATGCAGAGAGCATCAGTGGTCATTGCCTTAGCCATATGGAAAGGCTGTTGACATTCATTACACCCATGTGGAAACCAGTCTTAATGCCATTTCCAGTGGAGTCAACAGAATACTGAATTTGATATTGTAAGCGTATCTTGGTGGCATTATGTCCAGATGGAGTTGTCCAAACATCTATTACTAATCACCAAACATAAACCCTTCCTAGCAGTTATTGGTATCAAAATGCCTCAGCCAAGACTCTACCAACAGTGATCTAGAAAAAACCTAGAACGGCAAAGCCGCCATGGCTCGCTGCTTGTTATCAATTTGAACAGCTTATGTTAAGAGACATCCAACTTATACAAATAAGGTTACTAAATTAAACAAGAAAATACTATATAACCAAGCTTCATCAAAACTTTTTACACGATTGGTTGACATTCGACTACAATACAAGTGTACAAGATATTTCATCGACCTTAGCAAAAAAATTCATTATACTCTAAGAGAAAAGACCTAGTTAGTGCTGCGTGCAGACTGTATGTTGAAAGGGCCTGTCGTTTAAAAGTAAATCAACAAAGACCACCAACGAGGGAGATATGCTTACAAAGGCTTCGTAGTTCTTTACAGGAGAGAGGAATGCCTAAAGAATGTGCGTCCAGTAAAGTCAGAGTAGACCTGGATGCCTGGATAAGCAGTGCATTTGTGAGTTTGATGGATGGTGCATAATTATTAAAAATCCTCTAAAGTATAGTTTTGCACTTTGCATCCAACCCTATCATCCTATCCTCTACAATTCTACCCCCATCATCCCATATCTGAAATGTCTACTTTGACTCCACCCTAGTCCCATCTATCTCCAAACCTACATCCACCTTATCTTTCCATCCATATCCTCCTCCACCCTCTATCATCCTATCCATCTCCTACTCCGCCCCCTCCCCATCATCCTATCCATCTCCTACTCCGCCCCTCCCAATCATCCTATCCATCTCCTACTCCGTCCCT